AAGGTGACTGTTGCCTCGATTACCTTAAGACGGGGACTTGATTGTGCTGGCTGAGAAAAACCATCAGCTTTTTCTTTTCGTTGCAGTGATACTATTTCCCATTATTTAACACATGAGAAATCATAATGTGTTATGTGTCGGTATGTAAAACCCCCAATCAATTTTCTAAGGCAGAAGGTAGCAAATGATGGTGGTGATCATTTTGTAACATATAAAAATACCGAATTCACTATATTGTTGTACACCCGAAACTAATATAATAAGTCAATTATACTTCCCAAAAACGGGGGGAGGGATGAAATTTAAAAAAAAAAAAAAAAGTTGGCAACTTATGGCCCTGGGGCCAAATCCAGCTCACTACCTGTTTTTGTAAATAAAGTTTTATCAGAACACAGCGCCCATTTGTTTATTTATCCCCTTTAGTTGCTTTCCTGCTGCAGTGGCAGAGTGGCGTAGTTGCCACAGAGAACTTACAGCTGCAAAAGCTGCAGCATCTAAAGTATTCACCGTCTGGCCGTTTACAGAAAAAGGTTGCCAACCCTTGTTCTAAAATATGACCAAAGTATAGTAAAATGCCTTATATATAGTTAACAACCATTGCATTAAGAATGTAAAAATGTCTAAAACATTGATTTCTCAACAATTAATATGCTCTCAACATGCATTTTTTTTTTGAAATGTGGCTTTCTTTTTTTTTTTTTCTTTCTTTTTTATCACCAAGAACATCCGCGACACATCCCCTTTGTTGCTGGCTTTTCAAAACCTCTACAGAAGTTTCTGACATTCTGCCGATTGTATTGTAACTTGACACTTTCTCCTCATGCTTTTAATTGAAAATGTTGTATTACATTTTAGAGCATGTCATGGACTTTTTTCTTTTATAAGCAACAAGCAAAAACGCTTGACTTAGAAATAAGCATTTCCTGCAAAATCTGGGTATTAAAAGCCAAGAGGCAGTCAACTAAGAAAATGTCCACTGGATCTACATTCCCTGGCGTTGGCTCGTATTTAACTTCTTTAGAGGCTCAATGTTGTCATCCGTAAAATGGAAATCGGACCGCCTCACAGGGCCATGTGAAGATAAAGTAAGGAAAGATACACCTGACATGTTTTGGGAACACATTAGCTGCCTGCTCCCTTTCTTCTTTCTACCCTTAGGTTAATTAGAGGAGCAAACAATCACAACTATAACGTATCTTCAGGGATTTTTCCAAATTTGCAACTCTATGTGTGGTGTTTCCGAAATTCAAGTATAAGTTTGGAACCGGGTGGAAATTAGAAAGGTCTGTGTATTCGGGTAAGAGATACAAACTGGCAAATGTAATAAGCATTCCTGAGTCTCAGAGGCTTAACTTAGTGCAGGTATGCTTGTGAGGCACCTCCGTCTGGTGGCTGGTGGGGAACAAGTGTGGTGGTCTGCTCCGTGTGGTATTTCAGAGACCTTGGCTTATTCCACCCAGTGACTCCACCATCTTGTAGGACTTGGAGTTCTGCCCTGGACCTCTGGGCTCACAACCAAGGGAAGAGAGAGGGCATTAGGGATGGGTCAGAGGCTCCTGAGTCAGGATGAAAGTAACATAGCAACTTCCATCTGTTTGGCCATAACTCAGCCGCAAGGACCCACCTAACTGGAAATACATCCCAGCTGTGTACACCCAGGAAGAAGGAAGAGATCTGATGAACATTCAGTGAGTCTCTGCCACAGACTGACCACATCTTCTTGGGTTATTATGGAGGATACATGCTTCCCAGGCATAAAAGGCACAAAGATGCCAGTTATCTGAGAGCCTGTCTTTAACGGTTACCCACGTAAATTACATTTGGAGACAGTAATGCTGGGTAGAGACAGTTAATCTGTATACGTGTTTAAATATATTTTAAAAATTAGCCTGTGATCTGAATCTGCTTCCCACATGTTGTGTGCCATTTACATACTTTGGCATTCTAAAATCACAGATCTATCACAGAGTAAGTTTAGAGATAGATACTTAAGAAATGTTGCATTCAGTGACATTTTCATTACCAAAGTGGTCTACGTGGACTCAGATTTATTTTGCTACCCTATAAAAGCAGAAGTCATACACAGTATTGAGTGGAATTTTTATCCACGAGGGCAGATAGGACATTTGTTGAAATGCTGCCATTGTTATTTGATTCAAAGTGCACATCTTACAATGAACCACATCAGGCCCATTTTCAATTTTTTAATACCTCTCATGGATCTAAGCACACCTTTTTTAAGTTATTCATTTTAAATTATGATTATATGAATATTTTAGGATTATAATCACCATTAAATGAAGGACAAAATTTATCATACCAAAATAGAAATTTAATTTAAAGTAGAAAGAACTTGATTGCAAGGTTTAGCAGACTAGAAACAAGACGTAAAGAGGATATTAAAGAACATTTTTAAAAAGACCCTCAGTAGTACAGATTTACAATAGACTTGGAAAAAACACAGTTGCGTTCAGTGATGTTTGTGGAGATCATATTTGAGACAGTCTCATCAAAGATCAAACTTCTGTAAGATTGAAAAAGCACACTAAAGCAAACAAGCCTTTTGGTCATTCCATGGAAAAACTAACTTCAAAAGAAATCTTCATTCAGTACCATAAAGTTGGTGAAGTTTATTTGAGATATAAGTTGCTCTTGACCTGAAGGTGATCCTGTGGCTTTTTGGTCAAGAGTCAAGATTGTATATGGCCATAGGTGATTAAAAATATCCCTTTCACTTTTTCTTGGTATTCACAGCATTTCCTACTACCTGTCACTTTGTCCTTGACGAAATTTGAGACTGAAAACGAGTTGACAAGGATGATTTTCCAATCAGTTGTTCCTCATTTTTTCTCGGGTACTCCTTTGTTATATTCGAGTTCAGATTTACTATTCATGAGCCACATTTTAATCAGTGACCATATCCGACAAATGGAAGCTTAGCGCTGGTTAGTATGTTGAAAATAAACACGAGGGCTCTCATTAATGTCGCTGTCTGAATAATTAGTTGAGCATCGTGTACCGAGCAGCGGCGAAGGCAAGCTGGCTTTTCACTGGAACGACAGGCTGACAGCCACGTCCTGGAGTGTGGTCATTAGTGTGTCCCACCATCAATGTCATGTTACTGTGTCAAATTAGTTAGTGTCCCCTTAGGAGAGATGCCGGACCTACAAATTATCCTCCCACACCCCTGGAAACCGTGTTTGCGAAACCTGCGATCAAGTGTGGGCAAATTATTAACAAGGCTCATAAATTAACTAGTTTACAGGCTTATAACATTTTACAAGTAGATAATAAAGGGTAGAAAAGTTTTCCAATTGCTTTGCCCTGATGTGAGGGCTGTGATCTGCCGACGTTTCCCGGAGGAGCCCACAGCTGATAGGTTTTCAAGAGGAGCGAGCATACACATGGAGTGTCAGAACGAATGTTTGGAAAACGTAGCCTCTGAAGGGAAGCCAGTGTAAATCCACTGGAAACAATATAATTAACTTCGTTATCTCATTGCTCTGAGAAGTCCGTGACAAGGGTCCTCTTTCTTGTGGTGGCCGTTGCTCATTAATGAGGTCACCAATTAAGTTTGAACTTTGCCAACTGAAATTACCTGGAAAAATATTTTTGATGCATTCTTATCGTGCTCTTAAGCTGCCTTGTTGAAGGAGAATAACGCTAACACAGCATGTTAAACTCATATGGGAATGACGATTCTTAGGCCGCGATGTATTTGACAAGCAGTTTACACTCACATCGATACCTGATACCTAGAAAACAGAGTGTGGACCAATCTGTCCTGAGTTTATCTCCTATCAAGAAAAGGCACCCACTGGGAGCACCACCACTTAACAGTCTGCTGAGCCCCGGTAGACAGACAGCCCACGTAGTTTCCGGAGATACACGACTATTCAAATCATAAAACTTCATACATCTCTTTTTTGGTTTCAACTTCTCTGTCTGATTAGATTAGAATACATGTGCATTCATGGAGTGTTGTCTGAGTTTACTTTTGCAAGGGAACAGCACACACACAGGGAAGAGGTCGTGCTTTTTGTTCATCCTGTAGTTGCATTTCCCTACCTCACAGCGGGTCCCTTCTGTCATCTTCAGGGCTGTACAGGTGTCATTATCATCTCAAGGATCTAAGCAGAAAAGGCCTGGCATGTAAAACCTTGCTACTGACTGCTATTCACAAAAACTTGCTGAAACTGCTTGAGGATGCGCTGACTTGTCTGTCAGCAACGTCAACTTACTTGGCATTGTGTTTGGTAAATACTCATAACCCAACTAAGCCGTGAAAACGCATAGCCTCAGCACACATGAGCACATGCACAGGCTGACTGTTTGCACGAGAGGGCTGTTTCACAGCCTCCTTCTGCATTTGAAATGCAATGGAAAAAGAACTGTAACCTTTGGGGAGTAAGATTTTGTGTTTGCCTGGCAGGTGAGATAGCTTGTCTTTTCTTTTTTTTTTTTAATAAGGTGATGATGTGTGTGTGTGTGTGTGTGTGTGTGTGTGTGTGTGTGTGTGCACGCGCGTATACGTTTGCGTGTGTATTTCCTCCGGTCGCTTGTACTGAATGCACTGAGAGAGACTGAAGACCAAAACCCAAAGGAAAATCTTCAGTGGGACGCAGGGATCATCTTACCCATATTTCTCAGAATGAGATAACATTGTAATTCCTAGAAGTTATCCTCAAAAATAAGAACTGTTGGAAGTTAAAGGAACCAAACTTCCTATGTGAATGACAGTGGCTTCAAGAGTAGCAGTTTTACTTGACTCTGTAACATCTTTGTGCTATAATTCTATAACACTGAACTCAAATTATGAGCTACATGGAATGCTGATTCTAGAAGGGAAAGGACAAAATGGATACACAGATACATGATTATATATTGGATGTAAAAGCACGGTGTCAATAAGGAAGACCTAAGGCTTACGTGAATGTGTTACTTTTGAGGCAACACAGTTTGCCGCTTCTCTTAACCTCTTCTGTTCTTTTTACTTTCAGTGTCTCTCTGTGTGTTGCAGTCCTGTGGCATTATGCATGCCCCCAACCAGTGACCTCCAGACTTTTTATGGCTGTGAGACACGTTAAAAGTTCAGGGTGAGTGGCAAACAACACTTATATTGTGTACCGATTAAAAGTTGCCATCCACCTTTGCGGGTGACACGATACTGGATATATTAATCCTTCAGAAGATAATGGAATGCCCCATGATCAAGCATGAGTTCCAAAGCCAGCAGGAATAGGTTTATTGCCTTCCATGATAGCTTTATGGCTTTTCGGAGCAGGATTTGTAACTTGCATCATATCTGTGGAAGGGTGATCTAATGAAGGGTTGGTAAACTTTGTCTCTAAAGGGCCAGATGGTAAATATTATTAACCTCATGGACCACAGAGTCTCTTTTGTAACTAGTCAACTCTGCTGATGTAGTGCAAAAGTAGCCGCAGACTATCGGTAAACAAATGGGCGTGACTGCATCCAATAAAACTTTAGTTGCAGAAACAGGTCGTGGGCCATACTTGGCCTAGAGGCCATAGTTTGTGGGCCCTGATCTAATGCATCAAAGGGGAACAGATGACCTGGAATCAGGATACCTCACCAGGTAGCAGTCCCTCTGTTATTGAGCAAACCATTTATCAAGAAGAAATGGGAATAAAAAAAATAATGCCCTTTCTACTGAGGCAGGAGTAGGCTGTATTTGTAAGGATGAAACAAGATATAACGTACAGGAAAGCACTTTGAAAATTTCGAAACTCCTTACAAATGTAATGGATGCCGCATACCATTATTATGGTTCACCTAGTGGAATATACCTCCTTCACCCTTTTGATCACATTGGGTTTTCATGAGCTAAATGAGTGTGAGGGAAAGCTCTTTTATTTTCTAAGTCATGTGGTTTGGCTGTATGTTCCTTCTATTTTATAGTTGATGGACAAGCTGTTGAAATGCCTCTTTGGTATCAAATACGGATGAAGGGCTATGCGGATAGATTATGGCAGGCTAAAGATCAAATGCCGATAGAGAGCTATTAAATTTCCTCGAATCATCAGATTCTGAGAGTGTTTTCAGATCTTCCACCTTTAAAATAGGCCCTAATAAATAATAATGCTTCGGATGTCTACAAGTGTGTTTGAAATTCACAAGCCTTGCATGTCAAAACATAGAGACAGGTTCAGCAAATATGCTTCCCTGGACTAGTGGTACTAATTAAGGAAAGTCATACTTAAACAAACAGCTTGGTGAATAGAGGGGTAATCAGAATCTCCATTCATGAATTCCTAGTTTTTGTTTTCTGTTTTCTGACAAAAAATAGTGGGCTAGTCTTTAGATATGTTTTCATGTCTTTCTATCATTTAAGAATTGTTTTCCAGTAACAGAGATGCACCTATGTGATGTTAAAAAAATTAGTTGTGTGTTCTCTCATAAAAGATGTCTGGGGGAGAGCAATTTGCGCTTTCTGTCTTTATGCTCTGCTTGCCTGTTTAGGTGTTGCTTCATTTTCACGGTCACATGATGGCTGCTGGCTCTCCAGCCACTGCTTCTACATCCTGAAAGGAAGAGGCAAAAGTACAAGGAACAAAAAGAGTAGTCCTCCCAGCTGAGGAAGTCCTCTTTAAAGAACTTGCCCTGAAGTCTTGCTCAGTGGCTTCTATTTACATCCTTTTATCCACCCCTAATATAAGGGCATCTGGGAATTGGATCCTTAGACTTGAGAAATTTGTTGTCCCAGGTAAATTCCAGGTTCTAGCAGTAATGAAGAAAAGGTGTATGGTCACTGAGCAGCAATCGTGGTTACTTATATGAAATCATGCTCTCAGTTTTTCTTCCATGTCGTAATTTTTATTTATTTTGATGAATGCCTTCTTTCTTTGATTGATTTGTGTGTATAATGTCTTATTTGAATTTTACATGTTTGAATTTCAGCTTATTCAATTCTCAGCAGAGATACATAACTCAGTAAATATTTTAGGACCATAATATTCTTACTAGAAGTGCCGTGGCAAATCTGAGAAAGAAATTTCTGTCTCATGAGAACCATCAACCAAAATTTAAACTCCCAGGGCTTCCCTGGTGGCGCAGTGGTTGGGAGTCCGCCTGCCGGTGCAGGGGACACGGGTTCGAGCCCTGGTCCGGGAGGATCCCACATGCCGCGGAGCAACTAGGCCCGTGCGCCACAGCTGCTGAGCCTGAGCTCTGCAGCCTTCGAGCCACGGCTACTGAGGCCCGCGTGCCTGGAGCCCGTGCTCTGCGGCAGGAGGGGCCGCCGCAGTGAGGAGCCCGCACACAGCGATGAGGACCCAACGCAGCCATAAATAAATAAATTAATTAATTAATTAAAAAAAATTTAAACTCCCAGATTTTCGAATGGATTTTCTCTCCTCTGGATGGGAGATTTTGTTAAAGCCTTAGTCCTAGCATGAGGTCCTAGGACATACAGGCCTGCACCCAACTGTGTTGTTCCCAGTATGTGTGAGGGCTGCCACGGATGGCTTTGAACTATCCCTCAGAGACTGGACAGTGCTGCCTACTCTGCATCTCTGCTTTGCTCTTCCCCATATGTCTGCTGAAAGCTTACTTTGGAGGGTGGAGGAGACAAGTAAGCCACTCCTGTCCAGTTTCTCTCTTCCAGATTGGCCTGTACTTTATTCTCGGGAAAATTACCATCCCACAGAAGAGACTTCCCTTTCCTTCATAATATTGTCTCTGCCTATACCAGCCTGCGATAGATGCTCATGAAACATGGTAGCTGATGCATTCACAGACATTTCTTGAATGCCTGCTGTAGCTGTAGGATAGCAATGTGGGTAAGAGTGTCTGCATTGAAGTTAAATCAGCCTAGGTTCACATTCCACCATTTCCATTTACTGGTTGAGTGCCCCTGCGTCAGTCACTTAACCTTTCTGGGCCATGACCTCCTCATCTGGGAAATGGGGATACAAATAGGAGCTGGATTCCTATAAAGGATTACTGAGATGATGCTTGTAAAGAGCTTAGCACAGCTCCTGGTAGGTAATAAATGCCAGCATTGTGCCATGCGCCCTGGGTGATGTGCTGGAAATCCCAGTCTGAGGAGTTTCTACCGTCCTCTGGCTGGTCCACTGGCCATTACTGTACTGGTAGACAATGTATATTTCACAGTCCATTGCTTCTCGCCTGGTATTCTGTTGGAAGTTTAAGTAAAGCCCTGGGAGGTGGCTTTGATGCCCGTCTCCAAGGACTCTGCAGGCACGTATACAGCTGGACAGCCCGGCTAACAGAACTTAGATCTCTGGGTCCCATTTTGGCGCTTTCCCCTGAGAGGCAAGCAGTTCTTTCTTTATTCCGTTTTTTGGCTTACTCAGATGATGGGCCCGCCCAGCAAGCAGAATTCACTAACTGCTTTCAGGTTGGTATTGCTGAGGATAATCTGAAACTCAGTAGGGTTTCACTCATGCAGGCTGATGCTACATGAGGTCGGTCTTGCCCGGCCTCATCCCAGTCCCTGCCTTTGTGCTGAGTCTGCAAAGCAGCCCCTGGTCCCCACACGTCTTCTTGGGACTGGTCCTCAAAGAACAGTGCCGTATGCACAGAGAAGCTGTCGCATGAGTGTGGCAGAGATCATCACCTGTGCCCATGGACGGCCCAGTTGGCGACGTGTCCCAGAGATTGAGAAGCGTTGGCGACCACTTGACCGTGGCTCTCTGTTGATTAGTTGACCCTGTGGAAGTAGTGGCTTGCAGGAGTGGCTCTTACGTTATCAAGAGACTCTTGGAAACTAAATTTTTGCTCTGTGGTTTCAAGTATTTTATTTAGACACTGTTACTGTGCTCAGATGCCTTAAAAATCTTCCTTGCCCCTGGACCATGCGATTCTCTGCCCGGAACAATTTTTGTGCTTCACAGAGCTAACCCCTTCTCATCCTTCATTATTCAGTTCAAATATCACCTTCTTGGGGTGGGCTTCCCTGACTACCCCCATGAAAGATGATTTCCCTCCTCCCCCTTCTCACCCTCAGCCACCCAAGCCTCTTGTCTGTTTCACTTACTACAACTCTGTCACCTTCTGAATATACCTGTTAACCAGGTAATAAGCAAGAGGCAGATCTGTCTGAATCAGTGTTGCTTCTTCATGGCTGACAGTGCCCAGTGAATAGTAGGCAGCCTGTCAGTCAGTATTTGCTGAAGCAGTCAGAGGACATTTGGGATTTCCCTGTGAATTTCTATATTTCATGGTACTAAGAGGACTGCATCTGGGTGAGAGAGTAAGAAAAGAAAGGAAACCATACACGTCACCTTTATTATAGGAATAGAATCCTGCCCTTGGGTTTTCTCTGGAAAGCTTCCTCTCTACCTTGTACAAGTCTTTGATACTCTGTGTGTCCCATCTGGAAAGGATTATACATCATCACCTTCCCCATGAAGACAGAATCATTTGCCTTTTGGTTCTAAAGCTTATGGTGGGTGGTATAAGTTCATTAAGGATGTTGGATTCCAAGCCCAAATCCCAGCACTCTCATTCCCTGAGCTCTTTGTTCTTGGACAAATTACTTCCTCTCTTTGGTCCTCAGTTTACTTACCTGAGGCAGGGGAAATAGCATGACCTAATAAATAAGCTCGTAGTGTTCGTGCAAGGGTTAAATGAGATGCTATGTGTACAGTGCTTTGCACAGGTTCTGGACCAGAGTAACAATGCTGTTCATTCAGGAAGATCAACAGAAGGGTATTGGGAACCACACTGACAAAACTCATAACGTCCTTTCTTGTGATCTTCATTTTAAAGGGGGTAAAGATGGCGAAGAACCTGGATTCCCTATTAGATTCGCTCATTTCATGCACTGAATTACCTTTGAAAAGTGGAAAATGAGCGAGCAGTGGGATGACCTGTTTTATATTTGTTGTTAGCATGTCGACTGTTGGATGTGAGGGATCTGTTTCAGATAAGGCCAGTGATAAACCTCAAATGCTGGGATGGCTCAGTGTTTGGAGCCCAACCCACATGCAAAAACACCTTTGGAATTTGGAGTTGAAGGTCCTGCACTGTCCTTACGCTGCCTGGCTGGGGAGATGTTTCATCCTTAAGTAATCAGAGCTCATTTGATCTCCTGCCTCACAATAGACCA